ACTCACCCACCCAACAACTCACTAACCCACCCAGCACTCACTCACCGAGCCAGTCAATCTCTAACCCACCAACTCACTTTTAAACTGACTCTCTCAACTACAACTCACCCAGTCACTAACCCACGCACTCAATTTATAACCCACCCACTACCCACGTAACCTCCTACCCACACACTCACTCATCCACAAACCCACTCACCCCCTCACTCATCCATCCACTCACATACTCACCCAGCCACTCACCTACTCACCCAGTCACATACACATCCACTCACCATGCCACCCACTCAATTTCTAACCAACCCACTCGCCCAACCACTCCCTCAGCAACTCACCCACTAACCACGTAATGATTCACCCACCCATCACTCAACCACCCAATAATTCAACCACCAAAACATTCCACCACCCACTAACTCAACCACCCACTTCCACCCACTAACTCAACCACCGATCCACTCACACTCACCCACTCACCCACCCACCCACGCACTCACCTGCCCACTCACCAACACACTAAACTAAATCTAAATTGTGGTTATTTTACCAGGTAAGGCCGACAGAGCTAAACATCTTTTTCAGAAATGACCTGGTTAAAAATTATAGGTCAACGAAGTGGCTTATGACATGTATTGCAGCCAAATCCTATAAATGCTTGTTGATTTTAAATGTGGAGGGAAATATACAGGTGTCAGGGTCGGGATCAAACCCACAACCTTCTGCATACCAGGCGAAGTAGTTAACATCTCGCCACCGTGGCGCCCCACTGTCTGACTCTCCCACCCACTAACCCACACACTTGTCCACTCATTCAATCACCCACTCACTCACTCAACTACTGAGCCATTCATACACTGACCCACTCACTAAGCCACCCACTCAATCACTAACCCACACTCATGCACCCAGCCACTCACTCACTCAGCGACTCACCTACGACGCATCAACCCATCCACTCACTCATCCACCCACGCACCCACTAACGCACGACCCACTCATCCACACAATGAACGAATATTTAATTGTTTTTAATTTTACTGGGTAAGGCCCTGAGCTATAGATCTTTGTTGGAAGCCACCTCAGCACAAATGACAGTTCAATTAAGTGGCTTTTCACGTAGAATGTTATTGCAACCAAATTATATAACTGCATGTTCAAAAGTGCAGGGACAACCTGGAGAAAATTCCACGTGACCACGGGAAGAACATAGAAACTCCAACTATACAAGCGGAAGGGCTGGGATAAAATCCACAACCTCCTGTATACTAGGCGAGATAGTTAACATCTCGGCACCATGGTGCCTCACTCTCCGACTCACCCACCCACTAACACACGAACTCACCTCCCATATTCACACACCCATCTACCCAAAAACTCAACCACCCACACATTCACGCAACAATACACTCACCCACCCACTCACTTATTTACCCACCCACTAAACCATGCACCTATCCACTCACCTATTCAACCACCCACTAACTCAACCACCCACTATCACCCACTAACTCAACCACCGAGCCACTCACACTCACCCACTCCCCACGCACTCACCCGTCCACTCACCAACACACTAAACTAAATCTAATTTGTGGTTATTTTACCAGGTAAGGCCGACAGAGCTAAACATATTTTTCAGAAATGACCTGGTTAAAAATTATAGGTCAACGAAGTGGCTTATGACATGTATTGCAGTCAAATCCTATAAATTCTTGTTGATTTTAAATGTGGAGGGAAATATACAGGTGTCAGGGTCGGGATCAAACCCACAACCTTCTGCATACCAGGCGAGGTAGTTAACATCTCGCCACCGTGGCGCCCCACTGTCTGACTCTCCCACCCACTAACACACGAACTCTCCTCCCATATTCACACACCCATCTACACATTCACGCAACAATCCACTCACCCACCCACCCACTCACTTATTCACCCACCCACTAAACCATGCACCTATCCACTCACCTATTCATCCACCCACTCACACACCCATTAAGCAACCCACCCACTTACCCTGCCACCCACTCAATCTCTAACCGACTCACTCACCCAGCCACGCAATCTCGAACCCACCAATTCACTAATCCTCTCACCAACTCACCAACCCACCTCTCACCCACTCCCACACCCACTCACGCGCTGACCCACCCACTCACTCATTCACCCAACCACCCACCCACCACCCACTCAATCTCTAAACCCATTCACCCACCCACCCACTCAGCCACCCACTAACTCACCCAATCACTCGTCTATTCACTCCCAAACAACACACCCACTCACGTCACCCATGGCTTACCCTATCACCCACAATCTCTAACACACTCACTCACCTACTTCCTCAATCACTGACCCACACTCACAGACCCACCCAGTTAATCACCCACTCTATGTGTAGTCCTTACCTCTTCTGGTAATGTGAGATATTCTTTTACCAGGTAAGGCCCACTGAGCTATAAAGATTGTTTTCAGAAGCATCCTCGCCACAAATGATGGTTCAACAAAGTCGCTGTATACATTTATTGCACCCATTTCCTCTTATTACATGTTTCTAAATGTGGAGTGAAATATACAAGCGTCAGGGTCGGGATCGAACCCACAACATTTCTGTATAGTAGGCGAGGTAGTTAACATCTTGCCACCGTGGCGCTAAATTCTTTGACTCACCCACTCAACTACTAAAGCCACCCACTAACCGACTCACAAACCCACTCACCCTGCCACGCACTCAATTTATAACCCACTCACTAAGCCACTCATCCACGCACCTACCTGCACATGCACTCACTAACTCACCCAACAACCCACCCATTAACTCACCCACCCACTCCCTGACCAACTCACGAACCAACCCACCCACTCACACTGTGACCTACTCCATATCTAACCCAACAACTCACTCACCCAGCCCCTCACCTACTAACCTAACCACCCACCAACTCACTCACCCACCTACGCACTCAAATACCCACTCACCCAACTGTAAACAATTTTTTTTTTACAAGGTAAGGCCCACAGAGCTGTACAGATCTTATTCAGAAGCAACGTGGCCACAAAAAACCCAGAGGTCTCGGAGAAAAATCCATGAACCACGAGGAGAACATGCAAACTCCAAATATACAGGCATCAAGATCGAGACCGAACCCACAACCTCCTGTACAAAAGGTAAGGTGGTTAACATCTCGCCACCATGGGGCTCCACTCTCTGACTCGCAGCCACCCACTCACCTACCCATTCAGCCACATACCCATTCAGCCACATACCCACTAAAAGACCCATATCAGCATATAAGTGGTCTTGTATTCACTCAGTAAATGAAGTTTAATATAAAATTGTACACTCACAGGATCGAAATAAAGATGACATTGCACATCGGAGTAAACCGAGTCGCGGCTATGATAAAATTTTGCATTTGCATAACATTGATTTATTAGCATACAAAATGACTTTTTGCAGAGCGATTTAATACAAAAGTCTGATAGACTACAAAATAAAAGTACATACAAACCAGGCATCAACACCGTTGCTTTGTATGATCTGTGAAACGCAGAAAATTTCAGATACAATCGGACATTTTGAGCTTGCTGCTGTATCGACTGAATGGAATCAATACAATTAGTATCGATTCACAATCAACAAAGACCATATATGGGAAAATCTCTGATCGGTGATTTTGATTGCATAGTATTGCAGCGCCCCTTTGATGATGTTATAAAGCACTTGCCCCAACAGTCTGTTAAAGGCTACACGGGGATCTTTGTGTGCGAGTAGCTCACAGATCCTTGAGAGATCTGAACACTGTCCGATCATCAGCGAGCTCCTCCGGCAGGCGAGGCTGCGTTGGCGGTTGTCTGTGCATTCAGAGGTGTTAACTATCCCACGCAGAGAAGTCTGTTTACAGGACATAAGAGGTTCTTCACGTACCGTGCCCCGTGTCACCTGAATGTTAAATGGGGCTCCGGTAATTCAGTGTCCACCGCCGAATCATCTTTCACCATCACCACGCGTCCATTAAGGCCAATGTGACGAGGCCATAGATAGACAACGCGTTAAAACGGGGGGGGGGGGGGGAGCAAGAAAAACGTCGTACTACGTGACATCACAACACCCTGCACACAGCCATAGTGGCTGATTAGGGTGCACATCATTTACGAATATGTGGTTTAAGTGGTTGAGAGTAGATTTTGGTGTAAATTGATCACGATGCTTTGCGCAGCCTGCATTTAAAATTTCATGCGTGGGTGCGTGAGCAGATATGAGTGGGTGAGTGCGTGAGTAAGCCGGTGAGTATGTGGGTGGATGGAGGGAGCTGGGCGGGCACGGCATGGGCTGGAGTGGAGGTGGACTGATGCGGTACGGGAGGATGTGGAGCTGAGTGGGCTTTGCCGACGACTGGTACCAGTGGTGTCGAGATCGGCCTCTGCAGGGAGGCTCGTGAAGGATGCTTCTACTTGGCAGTTGGCGACAATCGCCCTCCAACAACAACGGAGGAGTGACGCTCACAACAACGAGCGGAACACCGGATGATAAATATGCAGCAATTTGGCACAGTACGGGGTACAGGTGGTGCTGCCAGTCATCTCAGTCAGCCAACCCATGGCACCTGGGTCTGTACCAGGACCTCCGGTCAGCGAGCCTTCGACACTTCACGTGGCTTCAAAGTGCACCTGGCCTGGCACAGTCGCTGTGGTGACGTCACTGTTACTTATTGGCGAATGGTGACGGTTGATAATGCAGCGGTGGTTGTGAGAGATGTCATTTTGGGGGGGGGGCGCCAACCCTGACCAGCTGTGAACCACCTCACGTCGCCCGCAGCCACCAGTGGCCACGGGAAGTTCTGGATGGGTGCGAGGGGCTGGTAGCGAGGGGGGAGGGGACATGGAAGGTGAGAATTATTTTATTATGCTTTATTTTTATTATTTTATTAATACCCTTCTACGTGACTTTACCGAAAGAACCAAGAAGATGAATCCCTGCAGTCACGAAAGCTTTAAATCGAGATGTAGAGGTGTTACATACCGGGGTGGAGCAAGCCATTACGTTGCGGTGTCTACATCACGGTCCGTGCGTGGGGTGTCTACATCAACGTCCGCATACAGCCCCGCCCCTCGGGGGGCAGTTGGCTATATAAGGCGGTGTGCGAGAGAGCTCGAGGCAGTCGTTGGAGCAGAAGAGCCGTTGGAGACTGAAAACCAGCTCGCAAGCCCTGGGACTACACTGAGTCGGTCTCCTGCAGGAGTGGAACCGAGCTGTGGGTGAGTGGTGGCTGTGTGAGTCTCTGTATGTGAGTCTCTCCGTGTGAGTCTGTGTGTGTGAGTCTGTCTGTGTGGAACAGTCATGGTGGGGGTATTGAGGGGGGGGCATGGGGGGTCTCGGGTGGGGGGCAGAGGAGGCATGGGGGGAGAAGCTCAGGTGGGGGGGAGGAGCTAATGGCTGTGACATCACGGGGGGGCGTGGTTAACTTGTACCGCCCCCGCGTCTCGCGCCACGTGCTTCCCACTGGCAGTTTGCCCGTTAGAGAGGCGCCGACAGACCCCAGAGCAGGTGAGGAGTTGAACGGAGCTGTGGGCGAGTGGTGGTGGTGGTGTTAGTCTCTCTATGTGAGTCTTGTGTGTGTGTGTGAGTCTCTCTGTGTGAGTCTGTGTGTGTGTGAGACTATCTGTGTGAGTCTGTGTGTGTGAGACTATCTGTGTGAGTCTGTGTGTGGAACGGTCGTGTAGCTGACAGCGCGCCGCGCTATTAACTGGGAGACCCCGAGGTGGATTCTCTCTCAAGGCCAACAGCAGTGACGATTATCTGAACCGGTGCTGGGCCTCCCCTAGGTCGACTCAACCTCGAATGAGTACCTGGTGCGGTGTGTAAAGGTCGCCACTAGGGAGACAAAGGCGGCCGGGCGTGGTGCTGGCAATCCAACCCCCTCGTGTGTAGTGCCAGCCTTCATACGTACTGCTGGCTAACAGCACTTTCCCCTACAGACTGTTCAGTCTCTATGGGGATCTTTATTTTTATTTCGATTTAAAGCTTTCGTGACTGCAGGGATTCATCTTCTTGGTTCTTTCGGTAAAGTCACGTAGAATGGAAATAATAAAATAATAAAAATAAAACATAATAAGATAATTCTCACGACGTTTCGGCCACAACGCAAGCAGCCGTCCTCAGGTGAAGACCAGATCTGTCGGGGAGACAGCGTCTGAATGAAACACCACCACGCTTGGAGCGTATATTTTAGCTGGGTTGGAAGGGGGGAAGGGCGCCTTGACAAAATAATTTGCATATCAAGAGGAATTTAGCATATTTATGGGAAATGCAGGTATGTGATTAGTACCATTTGTGAAATGCGTAGGAAGTGGGCGGGGGGTTTCAAAGTCATATTATGCCCGTGCATTATGCAGGGTTAGCGATTAATTACGACTTTGTTAACGTCTAGCTTTTCAGTGTGTGGGTTCGGTCTCTTATTTGAGAGGCGGTTGAATTTGTAAATCAAGTTGTCCTTACATTTGGTCGACATAGCGGCAGCTGAAGAGGCAGTCATATTGTCTAAATGTTCCCAATCCGATGTGGAAATTGTTGCAGTCAAAGATAAGTGTGATTTGTAGAGTGTCTTGTCTAACTGATCTAGTTCGGTGCGCGTAAGTCTGATTTTCTCTGAGATAAGAGCTAAGCTAGTTCTAGACAGAATTCGTTTAGCATTAGAAGAAGTTACAGCAGCAGAGGTTAGTGTAAATGCGATTGGTATTACCTTAGAGTCGCGGCATCTCTTCAGAAAGGTGGGAGACTCGATTAGCTGAGCCTTCTTTGTCTTTGGTGTCCCATACTGGCAGGGGGAGGAGTGGTGGTGTTAATGTTGGTGGTAGTAGTGGGGGTAGTGCTTGTGATGGTGGTGGTGTTAGTTTTAGTGATGGTGGTGTTAGTGATTGTGGTTGTTATTAGTGGTGATAGTGGTGGTGTTACTGGTGTTAGTGATAGTGATGGTGGTGTTGGTGGTATTAGTGGTGGTGGTGTTAGTGAGGTGGCAGGATGCCCTGGTGGTCCCCATCTTTAAGAAGGGAGACCGCACAGACTGTAACAACTACAGGGGCATCTCACTCCTCGGTGTGCCGGGAAAGGTCCTAGCAAGGATTATTCAACACCGCCTTGCCAGGAATGCTGAGGAAAGGCAGTTGTTGCTTTTTGTGTTTTTCGTATTATGGGTGACTGGTGAGGATGTGAGTCTGTGTTGATGATGAGAGTCCGCATTGTGAAGTGACGTGTGTTCAGACGTGGGCGTGTCACGCCCCTTCGACTCTGTGACCCTCGCCTCTGTCTCCCGCTCTCCACGCAGAGACCCGGACCGCGCGAGAGACACCGTGAGCTCTGAGCACCCTCGTCTGCAAGTTGCTACCATGGAGGTACATGTGGCTCCTCGACTTGTGTGGTGAAGTATGGGTGGACGTGTGTTCTCCCCTCTGCGTGTGCCTACCTGTGACCTGTATACCTGGATGTGCTTCTCCTTGCCCGCCTGAGTGTGTGTGCGTCTATCAGTGTCTCTCCGAGATCCTGTTGGTGTACATGCCCGTCTACGCGTGAGCATCTACAGCACTGTTATCTATCCACTGATGGATGAACGCCTCGCTCCCTGAGACCCTGCTACCCCTCACATCCTGTGATGGCATAATCCGCCAAGCGCCGGTTTCGTCGCACCATCTCTCTGGCCGCTCTCCTCTCTGATGTGTTCCGTTCCTTGGTTGTCGCTGTTATTATGCTTGACTGTCAGCCATTGTTGTCCATCCTGGCCATGGCTCGTCCTGCCCGAGTCCCACTCACTCCTCAAGCTCTAGTGGTGGACCTTTGTGTGTGTGTGTAGATCAGCCGAGCTGGAGAGGCTCGGAGTAACGGCGAGTCTTGCACCACGTGGAGTGCGCTGTCCTCAGCGCGCACCGCCTCCATCCGCAGCAAGTCGCCACAAGGTAAGAACAGAAATGAGTGACGTCAAGATGGCCACACTGAATGGTGGGACATCACGACGGTCATGTTTCAAGGGGGACGTGACAGTGACCATGATGCATGGGGGACTTCATGGTGGCCATGTTGCATGGGTGATGTACCGTTCGACTTTTGCCGTTCTCTGGTCTCACACCGGCGAGACAAGGCCATAAAGAAGGCTGTCTCTGGTGCAGGCCAGTCAATTTCAAAGACAATGCATATATTATCGGAGCATGTTTGTTTGCATATTTTTCCACAAGTACGTGTGGTAAATGCAGACGTGATGCCTTGCAAAAGGTATCTATTTGGTGTTTGAACATATTAACACCTGTTTTTGTGCCAGGAAGGGTAAAAGCTATTCTTATTTCATAAAATCCTTGGCATATCTGTGTTATATTTATCTAATTCATTAACCCCGTTGTCAAATCCAAGCAACCTAAGACGTCATCAAAGCTGCATATAGCTGGACATCGAACGAAGATGGTCACTGCATCGCACGTTTTCAGATGTGCTTCTGCAGTCATCTGGAATGCTCTTCCGACATTAGGAAGCCACTGGAGCGATGCTCTTTTAAATCTATAATTTTTGCGAACTTTTTAGTTTATTGTCCTTCCCCCTCACTTCTGATTAGCAGGGTTGCCGAAGCATGGTGCAAAATAAGTTCAACATACAGACATAACTGGAATTGGCCAAAACATCCAAGTCCCCTGCAAACTCCTCAAATTGGGATCACACAGCAGACGTAATGGCAGCAGCGTCACCCCCATTCTCTGTAAATCATCTGCAGGAACCTCCTGAAAAGGAATCAAAACAAATGATCACCGACAGCTGTTGTTGTTATTCTCTTGCCTGCAGCAATCCTGGCTCTCTTTGGCCCTCAGGAAGTATGGTACTCTGCGCTCCGCAACAGATCCCGGGGACCAAATAACGATGGATACGACGACCACGAACATCATTACATTCTGGTGAGACTCGCCACAAAGCCCCCGCCGTGGGGGCGGTCACAGGCGCAGCGGTCGCGAGGTTCGTGGCTTCTTGTCATTGCACCTGAAGTACCAACCAACCAGAGACAGCACACATGCACTCTCCCACACACTTCACAATCAAGTTTATTTCCCAAGTTAAGCCCATTGAGCTAATGAGCTTTTTTAAGGGTGTCACAGCCAGCAGACAGAGCATTCCACAATTACAGATTTAAGAAAACCAAACACTTAATAAAACAATTATTTCGTAAAATAATGCTCACACTTCTTACATGTTGTGATTTTCAAAATATAGTCAGTCTAAATGATTGTAATTTGGTGCAGGTCCAGCATGAGCACCTCCACTACCGCTATGAGGTGCTGAAGATTGGGGAAGGAGGTCAAGGCCAGGTGATCCGGTGCCTTGACCACATGAGGAACACCCTGGTGGCCGTAAAGATCTTGGTATCACCATTGAGGTAAGAATTCAGAGCGGTCTTGTCACAAGGACGACGTTGTTGTTCAGTCCTTTGCTGTGGGCGGCCGTGTGATGAGGTGGTGACAACTCGTGCCTCACAGAGGGTCCCCGGTTCGACTCCTGACTCGGGTGCCCTCCTGTGTGGAGTTTGTATGTTCTCCCCCTGTTCTGGATCAGTTCACTCTTACATTACATTAATTCTTCATTTCACCTGGGAGATGCATTCCTGAAAAGTGCCGCGTTAAGGGAAAGCACATTAAGCAAACATAATATCCCCATATATAATGTAACGATAAAGTTTTGCAAGATATAATACACGCACACAGTGATATGAAGAGACCAATAATGGAGGGTATGCTGTCACGTCACGTTATAATTCCGCATTCCGCCTACTGTATCATACCGCTCAGCCGTGCAGTTTCATAGCGGGCACATTCCACGTTATAATAGGCGCTTTCCTGCATTAGAACAGATGCATTCCGGATTATAATGGGTGCGGTCCGCGTTATAACGGGAGCCTTCCACGTTATAATGGGCACGTTCCACGCCATAAAAGGCACGTTCCACGCAATAAAAGGCACGTTCCACGCAATAAAAGGCACGTTCCACGCTTTAATGAGGTTGTCCCATGTCACAACGGGCGCGTTCATGGGACCTCCTTTGCCAGTACCAAAGATATACTGGCAAAGGAGGTCCCATGATGTAGCTGCTCACCCCGAGCTCTCATTCCTCTGATAGTGCTTGTCTCTGTGCTGTACGCCTTTTGGCGTCCTCTGGTTTAACACCGTTTTGTGACTAGACTCAACAGAAAGCTGTCTGGTGTGGACCAATCAGTTTAAAAGACAATGCATATATTATCAGAGTATGTTTTTTGTTTGCATACTGACCACAAGTATTGTGGTTAATTCAGACATGATTTCTTGTAAAAGGTTTCAGTTTTTTGTTACATCTTAACACCTGTTTTGTTGCCAGGAAAAAGGGGAAAATCTATTCTCATATTTTGGTATTGGCAAAGGAGGTCCCATGATGTTCCACGTTATAATGCCTTGCTTTGTGAGAGCCACATTCAGTCACGAATCAGCTATGGCTCAGTCTCTAAAACTCAGGCTCAGCTCCAGCTCAGCCGTGGTTTGGCTCAGGCTTGAGCCACTCAGCTGCTGATAAAGATACACGAGTGGCTCAGCCGTGGCTTGGCTCAGCTCCTGGAAATCCTGAGTGTGGCTGGGGCCATGCTCGGAGTCGGCTCAATTCACACATTAGGGAATCACTACGTTAAGTCAGCACCCCAAACCCCCTCTATCCCTTGCTTATTTTATCCTCTTCCCTATCCTTTCTGGAACCTTCCATGAGCGCGCTACTGGAACTTACAATGACATTACACTTGGGGAAGGTATAATTATTTAATTCTGAATATAATTGTTTCTGGTCATTTCTTAAGCAAGTCTAAGTCATGATTCATTTGTGGATTTTCTCTGCACAGCTCCAAGCGTGATAACTCTCAGAGAATGGAGATGAAGATGGCTCTGGAACTTCAGGGCAAGGGCAGTGATGAGGACTACAACGTCGTCAAAGTCCTGAACCATTTTGACTTCAGAGGACACCACTGCATTGTCCTGGAGCTGTTGAAGTACGTACCATGTGTTCCCACCGCCCCCCCCCCCCCCTTGGCGTGGTTAACTTTATTAGCTAAACAAAAACTATTTTATTTAGCAGGTAAAGCCCACTGCTCTATTAGTTATTTTTCACAAGCGGCCTGGCTACAAATGATAGCTCAAAAAAGTGGCTGATGTGGAAATGTATGGCAGCCAAACACTCTAAACACGTGTTTCTAAATGTGGAGAGAAAAACCAGAGGACCCGGAGAAAAATCCACGTGACCAGGGGGAGAACATGCAAACTCAGAATATACATGCGTCAGGGTCAGGATCAAAGCCCCGATCTCTTCCACACCAGGGGGGGTGATAACATCACACCACCGGGGCTAAATGTTACTTTTGGGATTCCCGTGCCAACCTCGCATTGCGATACTGTGGAGCTGGCATGTGCCCTAGGTGCACTAGAGGCCACTCCTCTTTTCTCAATCAGTGCCGCCCACTTTTATATAGCCACGCCTCCACTCGATCAGCAGGTTGGCTGCAGCGCAGTGGTGACGCTTGTGCCCCTCGGTGAAAATCCCTGAGTTTGATTCTCAACACGGACGCCTTTCTGCGTGGAGTTTGTATCTCCTAATAGATAACTCCACCACCCGGAAACAGAGCCAATGAAAGCAAGTGGTCAGATGTGCTAGCTGATTCGGTTTATCAGCAAACCAATGACCTAAACCCACTATGACTCATATTAGTCGTGAATGTGCAAATAGAATATTAATATTGTCGTTATCATAATCCACGCAGTATTGCAGGGTATGACACTGACACTGTGTCGTTGTTGTAATTGTTGTTGCTTCTGCCTCTTTCACAGGGAGAGCCTCCATGATGTGATTAAGGAAGCGGGGCTCCGGCAATTGCACATGGGGATGGTGAAAACTTACAACAGGGGCATCCTCAAGTTCCTTTGCCACACCAAGGCCAGGAGCATCATCCATGCGGACATCAAGCCAGTGAGTGGACACAGCATTCAGCGCGACTTTGTTCCGGAGTTGTGTCATTATTGGGGACTCAGACCATAGAGAAAACCGCCCACGTTGGTCACAGGGTCGATGTGTTAGCTCTGTCCGTCTATCTGGAAGGAGACAGGGTCACGTTACCTCTGGTGATGATCCGGTATGAATTAAACTGTCGTGTAGAGTCGTGTCGCTATTGGGGGACTCGCCACAGAGAAAACCAGCAATGTAGATCACAGCGTTGCCACGAACTTTGGCAAACACAAACCGGAGCTGAAAAGAATGATTTTCAAAACGTGCCAAACACGCGTTTGAACTGACAGGTGCCCATTGTCGGCTTCCATGCTGTGAATGGAAAACTTCCCAAATCATCACTAAATCCGTGCGCCCTCGAGTGTGGTTTTTGGTTCGTAACTCGTTAACGGGCAGCTGTGAGCAACTAGGATAAGTTGTCTATAGAGCCGCACCCTCTTACTTAGATGGTGCTTCAGAGAGCTTTACATGTGATGAGCCTCGACGAACATGGCTCGTCTTGACGCATTTGAAAGGGGCACCCCCAGTGGCAGCTGTCAGAAAACAGGGAATGTTGCACTTGACTAAAGGTTGACGACGGCGCTACGCCTCACCTAGTTCCCCTGTTTAGTATGTACTGTGGTACGTGATTGATCCACTGCTGGCTGAATGCTATTGGCGTAACCTTCGAGTGTGAATTCCTTCTGCCTCTCTTGCTTTAGGAAAATGTTCTAATCAAGGACACCGTGACCGGCACCATCAGGGTCACGGACTTTGGCACCAGCTTTTTTGTGAAACGTCAACGTGAGTAACCTCACCTGGGTGTGAGTTTCTGCGTGTGGGTGTGTCTGTGTACCAGTGTGTGTGCAAGTCTCTTAGTGTCTGTACATGTGACAGTGTGTGATAACGATGCTGTTCATGACATAGTGAGTACACACATACATATTTGTTGTTGTGATTGTTGTGCAGCTCTGCATGTTGGTGGGACCCTGCCATTCCAATCTCCGGAGGTATTGCTGGGCTACAGATTGACCTGTGCAGTGGACATGTGGGCACTGGGCTGCACGGTGGCGGAGTTGGTGACCGGCAGGGAATTATTCCAGTCGGACAGCCGCGACGACCACCTCCCGTGCTGCATGGAGGTATTTCCAACTGGGCGTTCACCCAGTTGTAGGCTCTGGGGGGGGGGGGGGGGGGGGAGGAGAGGGGGGGGCGATTGGGTACTTAGTGACCTGGCGAATGGCAGCCATCGTATGTTGTATGTGTGTACACGTGTATCTTGTACGTGTGGGGGAAGCAGTGGTGCAGCGGTTCACGTGCTCAGCTACAAACTCGGTAATGCGAGTTTGATTCCAAATCACGGCCAACATCAGTGAGGATTATCTGAACCGGTACTGGGCATCCCAGAGTTCGACTCAGCCTCAAATGAGTACCTGGTGCGGTGTACCTGCTTCAATATGGCCAACCATCCCCTCTCTGTGTGTGCCACAGTCCTGGCCCTCAACAGGTGCCGCTACTGTTGATGCTGTTTCTACTCACTACTATAAGCACTTGCCCCTAGTCTGCTGCAGCTACATGGGTGACCTTTGCCTTTATCTCAACCATGTGCAGATCCTTGGGTTGCCTCCAAGATGTATGATGGATGCAGCTCCTGACGGAATACACTACTTTGGTGAGTTGACGGGTGGGGCGAGCAACCGACCGGATTCAGTGTTAGGGTGTGGCCTGGAGCTGTTGGGGTGGCCATTGGGGGGGGGCTCTTTGTATTTTCAATTCCTTGGGTGAGTGGGTGGGTGGGTAAATTGGTGTGTGGGAGAGTGGGTGGGTGGGTAAGTGGGCAAAGTGGTGGTTGGTGACTGTGTCTCTCCTGCTGTGCATGTCTCCTGCAAATCGTGTGGGCATGATGTTCTGCCCAGTCAAGAGAAGGGTGCCAGGGAGCTTGTCACTTCACGGGGCACTCAATAGCCAAGACCTGGAGTTTGTTGAATTCGTCAGCTCCTGCCTGCGGTAAGAATCATCCCCCTCCCCCCTCCCCATGAGGAATTTCCCCCACCAAGGTGATCAACGATCGCTCTCATCCGATCACCAGGAAGATTTGGAGCTGAGTGAATCTGGCGATGACCAGTACCACCGGTGTTAAGATCGCCCTCTTTGGAGGTTCATTAAAGATTCTACTCGGCAGTGCGAGGCTCAGGGCGTTTTTAGAGTACTGCGTATTGAAGGATTGCCGCTGCTACCACGACCACCGCTGCTGCCGTGCATTCCTGGACCTCGTGGGAGAAGGGAAGGAACGTCAATGCTCTCACCACGCCTCTCTCACCATGTGCGCCGCGTGTGACCCCCGTGTGTCTCTCAACAGATAAGATCCAGATTGTCGCATGACGCCAGCGCAGGCGCTGGGTCACAGCTGGCTCCGGACCGCGGCCACCAGCACTACCAGCAACGCCACCACCACTGCTACTCCTGGCAGTGTACAGTGTTTTGGAGCTGCTGAGCGACGGTAAGCCACAATCTGCTTGTCAAATGTTCAAGACAGTCCATAGGGAGGTGTGGAGCCCGGGGCAAGTCACAATTAAACCGGAAGTATTACTAATAATACAGGTTTGTTTCGGTTAGATCGCGTAGATATACGTGTGTTGTTAACCCCACCATCACCCAACACGGCCAATTAGTAAGGTGTATCATGTAAACAAAATGTGACAATTAGTTACTAGATCAGCACACCAGTGTGTTGGAAAGTAAACCCACCACTTTTACAATTCGAGTACGACATTTTGCCAGGGATTGCAACCAGCCTCATAAGGTGACGGCCAGAATTATGGAGAAATACTCCCGTTTCGGTCTTAAATAGTGATAAATGTGATGTCATCATTTGTGAGCCAATCTGGTACGAAAGCCTACGTGTTAAAAAGACATTACGTCTGACACCGTGACATCGAAGCACAGGGCCGCCAGAAGCACGCTGCCCGGGGCGGTTTCCCCAGTACACCATACCCGGCTCTATATTGATTACTACTACCCTTATTTAGCTAGCATGAGCCTCACTCAGTCTCAAGACTCTTTTTAATTAGAGTCCTGCCAAGTTGTTTGCAGTACAGAACAAATGTGCTTTTGCTACTGCTGCTATGCGATTCCTATTGAGTGATTTGGGGGTTCAATTTCTAACACTGCCGAGGATGTCCATCCAACACTGGTTGTGTGGCGTGTCAGGGTTCGGTTACGTGGAGGAAAATGCCAAACCCCAAGGAATGAAAGTTACATTTTAATGTACAATTTTATTGAGGGACTGTGTGTTGTGGTGAGGTCTGGGGCTGTTTTTGTTGATGTTTTGCTGCCTTGCCCAAGTTTGTATTTAGTGTTAAAAAACTGGCAGGATTTTACATACTTTGTGCTTATATGCTCAATTATTTTGTGACTTGCTTACATTTTTACACGTTGCACTCATTTTCTTTTGTTTGTTGTTGTAACTTGCTGACCCTGTGCCTCGACTGCATATCTGTGAAAGAAGAGCTTCATAGCTTATCGGATTCCTCTTCATCCAGTCTAAATAATTTATTCTGATTTTGGAAACCAATGCAGGATAAAACGGGGGGGGGGGGTGGAACACACTCCACATTCCACACGGAGAAAGTGGCCCAAGTTTGGGCATCAAACCCAGGTCCCTCTGTGAGTTCCAGCCCTGCTGCCTGCAAACGAACACATGTACAGTTCAAACCCCACGTGTACATTCGGTTATATACGGATGTATTTTTATAACTGGTTTCTGGGTGAGGACAAATAATGAAGCAGCCATATCTTGCCATGTAGCCTTTCATCCAGTGTGATATCGCAAGACTAATGCCCATTTTGTAACCAGACCCACGATGGGCAAAGGTATGCTGTGTTACTGCAGCATCGTTATTAACCTGGTTAATCTATTTCCGCACGATGGTGGGGGGGGGGGGGGGGGGGAGTGCAATCTCTGTTGTAGCAGGAAGTTGAAACGGTGTCGTGCGCATCTCTTAACAGAGCGGAGCCGGCGCTGCCCCCATCCTCCGCGCTCGCCCAGGCCTCTAAATGGCTGACGGTTGTTGTGGAGGAAGAGGAGACTCCGGTGGAGGAGCTGGTGGTGCAGGAGGAGGAGACCCTGGTGGAGGAGCTGGTGGTGCAAGAGGAGGAGGAGACCCTGGTGGAGGAGCTGTTGGTGCAGGAGGAGGAGACCCTGGTGGAGGAGCTGGTGGTGCAGGAGGAGGAGAGACCCTGGTGGAGGAGCTGTTGGTGCAGGAGGAGGAGACCCTGGTGGAGGAGCTGGTGGTGCATGAGGAGGAGGAGACCCTGGTGGAGGAGCTGGTGGTGAACAGGAGGAGGAGACCCTGGTGGAGGAGCTGCTGGTGCAGGAGGAGGAGACCGTGGTGGAGGAGCTGGTGGTGCAGGAGGAGGAGCCCTGGTGGAGGAGCTGGTGGTGCAGGAGGAGGAGACCCTGGTGGAAGAGTCTGGTGGTGCAGGAAGAAGAGGAGATGAGGGGGGAGACAGAGGAGGTATGGACGAAGGAGCAGAGGAGAGATGGTGGTGGAGGTGGATGAGACATTGGTGAGAAGATGGTGGAGAAGGAGATGACAAGGAACGAGGATCAGGTGATGCAAGAGGAGAAGAGGAAGCCAGGGAGGCTGGCCCGCATAGGAGAACCATCCGTTCACCTCCTCCGACGCGTGCTGCTGTGTGGTGGCCGGTCCACCACACAGTA